TGCTAGTATCTTGGTAGCAACTTCCTATTTACTACTAGGTACCATGCTGGATATGTCATGCATGTTGGTTCTCATCTTTATCAACATCTGCAATGTAGGTGCTGATATTTCTGTTGAGGAAATGATTTGCTCAAGGTTACAAGGTCACGTGGCTGATAAGTAGCCAGCAGAGGTTCAAACTAAGTCTGGCTACCTGTAAAGCCACCTCTGTTTCCACTGTCCTGTACTTTTCATTCATTCCTTCCCTCCTGTTCCCACTGCTGTCAGTCAAAATTGATCTAGCTCAGTCTTGTGCCCAGTGGCCTCTCTGTCTTGTCTCTCCATCGGTGACCACCAGATTAACCTCCTGTAAACACTAGACTCTACTTATTTCATGGAGACATTTAACAATCCTCCGTTACCCCTGAAGGCACCTAGCATTTAAGACCTCCCTCTCCAGCTTCTTTTTAAAAAAATATTCTAGCTGAAGAGCTATTTTCATGTTCTTTCAGCATACCAGATAGGTTTTTGTGATTTTTTTTCAAAACATGTTTTTTCTACATGGAAAGTACTGCCCTCATTGTCTCATTAGTGACAAAAAAGCTTTCTTGACTGGGTAAGCCTGCTCTTATTATTTTGACACACACAACTATTTAGCCAGGTCTTGGTACATAGTCACTATTTGGGTGATACATATTAAGTAGAGATCATTAGAGTCATTATTGGAGACCTCATTTCAAACTTGGCATCTCTTCTTGTAGTGATTTGAATCCTGTTTTTATACTCTGGCATTCTTTTCTGAAGCATTAATGTCTAACTATGGAAGTCTACTTGGTGGTTGTAGTGTTCAAAGATACACATTGCAGCACTATTTATAGCAGTAGAAAGCTGAAAACAATAAATATCATATTTAAGAAAGTGGGTGTTCCTATTATTAATATTATGAACCATTAAAATAATTTTGCAAGAAATATTAAGCACTGGGAAGAGCTTTTGATATGTTAACCACAACATAATCAAGATAAATAAGCTATAACAGCAGCAAGCAACAAAAAGCAGGATATAAATTACCTATTCATTAAGATCTCAAATATGTAATATAAAATATGAGGAGAAACCTCTTAATTGCAGGATCATTAGTATTTTTTCTTTGCTTTGTTACAATTTCTTGTGCTTTGCAAGTTTTCTGCTATGAGAGGCATAACCTTTCTTTTTTTTTTTTTTTAATCAGACAAAATAATGTAATGACTTACAACAAATAAGGATGCGACGCTAATTCTCTATGTTTGGGGGTCCCTAAGGTCACTCTTAGATTTAATGATTAGCTAGGAGGTCTCACAGGACTCAGCATATAGTCATTCTGGTGACTATGATTCCTTGTAGCAAAAGGATACCTTACATAAAAGATTTATTACAGCAAAACCTAGAGGATAATAGGAGCAAACTTTCAAGTGTCCTCTCCCAGTGGAGTTGCACTAAACTCACTGAATTCCTCCAGCAGCAAGCTGGACAACACATCTGAGGTGCCATCTGCTAGAGAAGCTCATTAGAGGTTCAGTTTCCAGGGTTTTTATTGGGGGTTAGTCATATACACAGCCTTTGCCTAGCAAGTACCAAAATTCCAGACTCCCAGAAGGAAAGGAGATATTAGCCGCATTGTTTGTACAAACAGTTGAGGCACAGTGAGCCACTCTTATCAGGGAATGGTGGGAACTCTAACAAAATCCAAGTTCCCAGACACCAGCGAGGGGCCAACTTTGAGCAGGTCTTTCAAAGGCTGGCAGTCTCAGGCCTGCTATGTTAACTCTTTTCTGCACTTTTTTTTTTTTGCCACATTTCCACAGGGAATAAGTACCAGGAATCTTATTTCTTTTTACCTGGTTTTTCATCACAAACATTGAATTTATGCCACTATGGCCTTTTCAGAGTCCAGAGACTGATTATGTTAAATCTGAAGCGTGAGATTGGAGGAAAAAAATCTATGGCATTAGGAGCACCTGGTTCCTCCCACCCACACCTTTCTCAGGGCTACAGAGGTGGCCCTTGTGTAGGGCCAAGCTGGGAGACTGGCATGGAGCCAGGGGGGAGTAATTAGCACACTAGTGCCAGCTCCTGGCTTTGTGTGGTTTTCCTTCAGCTCTGCTTAAAAATCAATTAGCTCGCAGTCATTAGAACATAAGCAGCAACACAGAGCTCATTGTCCCAGGAACTTAATTCCTGGAAGCCCTAAGGCTCTGTGTGCAGTTTGGCTTTCCTTCTGCAAACAGAGTGTGTCAACATCCTTCTCCCACAGTCTAGAGCGATGACTTCATGCCCATTCCCTTTTTCCTGGGGAGCCTGTAACACATGGAGGCGCACACGCTCATTTGCTAGTCCCACCTCCACTTTGGTCATGATGTCACTTCCTCATCATGGTCTTTACTAGCACAGGACTGGAGGGAGATTCAGTGCAATTGCTGACCCCCACATCTTGTTCCCTGTCACTCATTGTTCATCTCCCCTACTCCTTCCCAGTACCTGCCTTGACACCTATGGACCCAGCTAAGCTACAGGTTCAGTTTAACAAAGAATTTCATGTTCTTCCCGTTCCCTCCCTCCGGGCTTTCCTTAGTCTCTATCAGTGGAATCTGAGATTCCTTTGGCACAAAATAAACAAAACTTTTATCATGATGGGGGTAAGCCCCTATCTTTTATTTGGTTTCACTTTTTTTATTTTTTATTGTAGAGACGAGGTCTTGTCAAGTTGCCTGAGCTGGTCTCGAACCCACGGGTTTGGGCAATCCACTCACCTCAGCCTCCCACAGTGCTGGGATTACAGACTGAGCCACCAAGTCTGGTTTCACTGAGTGGAGAAAGCATTTCTGCTTATACTTGCTTACTCTGTCCAGCCTTTATCTTTGAGGAGTGCGGGGGGCCAGCCCCTGCAAGTTTTGGGGAGTCCCTTGGAAGATGTGGTGGCGTTGGCGAATCTGTAGGGATAGATATTAAAAGAAAGAAAGATGGAAGGATAGATATAAAGAGGAAGAAAGAGAAAGAAAGAAAGTGGACAACTGTTCAGTGAAATGAGCAGAAGTCGTTTATTGAAAGTTACAGCAGGTATTTATCCCCAAATTTTAGACAAGCAGTCTCACAAGTCTTTCATGTGAACACAAAGCCAGGTGCGGGGGGACATCCCCCACCCACCAGATGCTTAGGTGTGAGGAGGAACAAACCCCAAGATTGTCTCATTGTTCCCTTTGCTAGTTAATGTTCTTCAAAAGCAGTGTAACAATCCTTACTAGTCTAATGATGTTCTGATAATCAATAACTTTTAAAGCTCACTCAATACCCATGATGACTAAATTAAACTCTACCACTTATACAATGCTACGGAAGCTCTTAATTATAGCTTAAGCCAATTTCCTAATGAATGTGGCCCAGTCCAAAGATCACACTGGGCCCTACAGGATGTGGCCCAGTCCAAGGTCCACGGTGGGCCACCTTTTGGAACAATAGACGACAATCTCTTAACAAAATGGCTATTCCAAAGTCTTATATGTCTATCCTAATTTCTATGAAAGTTTTCCAATTCTTAATTCTAATATATAAAGTTGATTAGCAGTGGCAAAGCTTCTAAAACCTAAATGTAAATTGTAAATGTACTAAGGCAAAAACTTCGATAGTAGAAAGTGGAGACAATGACATTTCTAAAGTTAACTATATTCTTATTAAACCTAAAAATATTATGATTGATTATGTTTGAACTAACATGATTGTAGCATGACCTATTCTACAATACCTTCTATGAATAAAATAA